TTAGGGAAGGGCTGGGGGTTAGGGTTAGGGTTTCGGGGGCTGGATTCGAGCTTATATACAAGGGTTAGGGACTGGGGCAGGCTTAGGGGTTAGGGTTCGGGGCTAGGGTTTGTTCTTAGGGCTAGGGCCAGGGATTTGAGTTAGGGTTAGGGGCTAGGGTTAGGCGGAAGGCGCAAGGTTCGGGTTCATGTAGGGGTTCGGGCTAGGGCGAGGCATTCGGGGTTAGGGGTTCGGGTTGAGGTAGGGGGGCGAGTTGGGTAGGGGTTAGGGTTAGGGGGTAGGGGTTAGGGTCAAATCAGCCAGCTCGAACGAGCCAGAGGGCTCCGTCCACTCCCGCCCGCCCTCCCACGACATAAGAAGCAATTGCGTCGCGTCCGACGCCTGTCGTTCATCTTATATCGCGGGCGCCTAGACGTTCAGCGCGCGACATGAGCTTCGCCCTACTCCTGCCGCGTATTGAGCAACGTCGACGAGAAACAAGACCGCGCGCGATGTACGCCGCGCCCCGCTCCAGCCTCTCACGTTGCATCGTCGGCGACAACATGTCCAGCGCGCGAAGCGCGCCGCGTCTCATTCCAGCCACGCGCGTTGCACCGCCAATCGTTCCGCTCTTGCTTCGCACAGAGGAGGGGGAGAAGGAGGAGGAGGAGGAGGAGGAGGAGGAGGGAGAGAGGGAGGGAGGGATAATCTGAGGAGGAAGAGGACAATACCTCTTGGGAATTCGCGGGGCGTCCTGGGAGTTTTCTGGCATACGCCTTAGGGCCTCTTGGATAGATCTTCCGGGTTGGAACATTATCAACACAAATAGGTGCTAACCTCACAATCTTGCAAACACCCACTGAACATCAATATTTGCGTTGTCCCCCAGGACCTCCTGGACGCCTTTTTTGGAGGTCTCCTGGGTCTCTTAGGGGCCTCTTGGGAGCCTCTTGGCGCCACCTGGGCCGTCTCAAGGGGTTCTTGGCCCGCCCGACGCCTTCGGAAGCCGTCTTGCGGGCCTCTCTGGGCCGTCTTGGCGACGCCCTGCAGCACCAGAGGGCCGTTTTGGGGCCCTCTCGGGAGCCTCTTGGGCGATCTGGAGGTCGCGCGCCACAGGTCACTGTTGCCAAAGGTCTCTCTTACGTGGACACGACAACGGGCGCGCCGGCGGCGAACCGCACTTGCTCGAGGCATTACGGCTGGCCGCCCGCCCAGCTCCTCAACCCTACGGGCCGCAGCGCCGACGACAAGAAAGTCCATGTTGACGAGCAGGCGCCCCCGCGCGACGTGCGCCGCGTCCCATTCCCGCTGCGCGATTGGCAGCGCCGACGAGGAGGAAGTACACGCCGGCAAGAAAAACGTCGAAGTTGCTGTGTTTTTTGACAGGTAGGACGGGGGGTCCCCCGTAGGGTTGGCCAGGCGTCCGCGCGCGATGTGCGCCGCGCCCCATTCACGCTACAATTTTCGCAGCGTCGACGACAAGAAAGTCAACGTTGACAAAGAAATCGTTGACTTTGCATTGTTTTTTGATGCGTAGGACGCGACCACCCGCTCAGGGTTACCCCAGCGAGGTCCATTCCGCCCCATTCCTGATGCATTTTTCGTACCTCGACGACACGATTGCGAACAAATTGGTTTGTGCTGCTTTTTTGACAGTTTGGACGGCGGGGTTGCCATCGGCCGGCTAGGTGGGGATGTGGGGGCGTTTAGTCATAAAAAGTAAGGATTTAAGGTCGGGGTAGGGGTTTGGATTTTAGGGTTAGGGTAGGGTTCGGGTAAGGGTAGGAATTTGGATTAGGTGTCAGGGTTAGGGTTTAGGATTAAGGTATGCAAGCTCTGCCGCAGCTGATCCCCTCCTCCCTAGGAGCCCACCTGCGGTGGCCGCCAGTCCCACCCGCAAGCCACCCTACCATAAAGATCATCGATCCCCTCGTTGTAAGTATAACGACTGGGAGCGCTTGGGGGCGCTTGGGACGCTTGGAAGCGCCTGGGAACGCTTGGGAGCGCCTGGGAGCGTTTGGGAGCGCCTGCAGCGCTTGGGAGCGCCTGGGAACGCTGTCAGCGCCTGAAAGATCATGGCAGTCAGATTGTAAAACACAGGATTCTGCGACAGCGGCGCACTTGGCAAAGAAAGTCCCATAGGTGTGCGAACGCATACTCAGAACATATTTGTGTGCAAGGGATGGCGAAGGTGTACGTCCGCGGACGCGCATTTGTATTGTGATTCGCAATGGACTATGCACGCATGATCAGGACATCGTATTTTGTTGCAAGGGATGGCGAGGGTTTACGTCCGCGGACGCGCAGTTGCATTGCAACCCGCAATGGAGTATGCACGCATGATCAGGAAATAGAATCTGTTGCAAGGGATGGCGCTGGTTTACATGCCGGGCCGTATGTTGGCGTATGTTAGCGTATGTACCCGTATGTACCAGTTTGTTTTGTGTTCAGGGCTTAGTAATTATAAGATTTCAGGGTTAGGTCTAAGGGGTTGGGGTTGAGGTTAAGGTTGGGGCATCGGGTTGGGGTTAAGGATTTGGGCTAGGGTTGGGGATGGGGTTATAGGATTCGGGTCAAGCTAGCCAGCTCGAGCGAGCCAGAGAGATCCGTCCACTCCCACCCGCCCTCCCGCAACATAAGAAACAACTGCGTCGCGCCCGACGCTTGTCGCTCATCTTATATCGCCGGCGCCTAGACGTTCAGCGCGCGACATGAGCTTCGTCCTACTCTTGCCGCGTATTGAGCAACATCGACGGAAAAGAAAAACAACACACAAATATATATATATATATATATATATAAACAAAAAAAAAAAAAAAAAAAAAAAAAAAAAAAAAAAAAAAAAAAAAAAAAAAAAAAACGCCCCGACCGTGTCTCTCACGTTGCATTGTCGGCGGCAACATGCCCAGCGCGCGAAATGCGCCCATGGAGGAGGAGGAGGACGACGAGGAAGGGAGGGAAAACGGAGGGAGGAAAAAACTGAGGAGGAAAACGAACATGCCTCTTGGGAATTCGTGGGGCGTCCCATTCCCGCTTCGCGGTTCGCAGCGCCGACGAGGAGAAAGTACACGCTGGCAACAGAAACGTCGATGTTGCGGTGTTTTTTTGACACGTCGGACGGGGGGTCGCGCGTAGGGTTGGCCAGGCGTCCGCGCGCGATGCGCGCCGCGCCCCATTCATGCTACACTTTTCGCAGCGCCGACGACAACAAAATCCATGCTGACGAGGAAAACGTTGAGTTTGTTTTGTTTTTTGATGGGTAAGACGTGAACGCCCGCTTCCGGTTACCCAAACGATGTCCATTCCGTCCCATTCTTGCTTTTCGCAATTCGACGACATGTCGGCGAGGAAAAAATTGAGTTTGAGTTGTTTTTGGGGGTTGGGTTTTTTTTGACAGTTAGGACGGCGGGGCTGCTATCGGCTGGCTAGGTGGGGATGTGGGGATGTTTAATCATAGGGAATAAAGATTTGGGATATGGGGTTAGGGTTAGAGTTGGGGCGGGGCCAGGGGTCGGATCAGGGGTTCGGGTAGGGGTTAGGTTTTCGGGTGGGGGTCAAGGTTTAGGGTTAGGGTTTAGCGTAGGGGTTAGGATGGGGATTGAGGTTTGAATTAGGGGTTCGGGTAGGGGTTTGGGTAAAGGTAAGGCTAGGCGTAGGGCAGGGGTGGGTTTAGGAGCGGGGGGTTTGGGTTAGGGGTTGCGGGCGGGCAGGGATTAGGTTGAGGGTTAGGTGTGGCAGGGACCGGGTTCGGGAGCCAAGGGGCGGCGTGACGAAAGGCGGGGAGGGGGGGGTCCGAGCTTCACGTTCAAAGGGGGGGGGTCGGACCCCCCAGGGGGGGAGGGGGGGGTCCGAGCTTCACGCTCAAAAGGGGGGGGGGGGGTCGGACCCCTCCCTTTGAGAAAGGAGGGGGGGGGTCCTGGACCCCCCACCCCTTTGGGTGATCCAGCGGCGCGCCCTCTTTTTTAAAGCCCCACATCGTCTTGACTGGAGCGGATCAGACCTCGGGCAAACTTTGGACTCGCGCTGCTGAGCCTTATCCCCCTAGGTGTTGTTATTGTCGTCTGGGCTCTGAAACGAAAAGTCGATGCGAACCGCCTTTGCCGTTTGCGACAAATCATATCAGTTAAATGCTGCGGCAAATGCCGGAAGCCCGCTCGGGGTGTCTAGGGGTCTTTTCTTTCTCTCTCTCTCTCTCTCCTCCTCGTTCGTTTGTGTTGCGTTGTGGTGTTGTGTGTGCCTCTCCCCTCGTCCTCTGTCGCTCCGCCGAGCGCCGCCCAGGAGCCTCCCTGTTCGTCGGACCTGCCTGGCCCGAGACACACAAAAGAGTCTCCTGGCCAGAGTTAGTGGCACGATGGTTTGTTCTTGGGCAACCGCAATGGCTCAAGCCTTCTCTGTGCCCGCCCGCGCCGCCCCTTTTCCTTTTGTCCGTGTTTTGTTGTTTTCTCTCTCTCTCTCTCTCTTCTCCTCCTCCTCCTCCTCCTCGTTCGTTTGTGTTGCGTTGTGGTGTTGTGCGTGCCTCTCCCCTCGTCCTCTCTCTCTCTCCTTCTCTCGCTCCGCCAAGCGCCGCCCAGGAGCCTCCCTGTTCGTCGGACCTGCCTGGCACGATAACTAATGTACAACATGTTTGTGTGTGCGTCCTAATGTATAAAATGTTTGTGTGTGTGTGTCCCTGCTCCGTTCCCTGAGCCTGCTACAATAAAGAGTTTAGTGGTTTCCACATGTTGTCGAATGATGTGGGTTAGTTGTGGCACGCCCAAGCCCCCACCACCGTGCGATTGCACCGCTTGTATAGCGCATTCGAGGCACTTGAGCTGAATGTTTGGTGTTAGTTTCTCGCACTGGTTAGACTCGCCGCCGCCGCCGCCTCTCCGCCTCCTCCTCTCCTCGTCCCCCTCCTCCTCTTCCTCCTCCTCCTTCTCCTTCGTCCTCTTCCGTCTCCTCCTCCTCCGCCTCCTCCTCTTCCTCCTCGCCGTCGCTGTCGACGTCGTCCTCGTCCTCCTCGTCGCCACCCCGCGCTGCAGGCGGCGCAGCGACTCCCGGCGGCGGGAGAAGCGGCGAGGCCCCAGCCGCAGCCGCTCCTGAGGCCTCCGCCACGGCCTAGAGCCAGCGCCAAGCACGGCGGTGCGCTCTCCTCGGGGACGGCCACGAGGAGGGTGAGGGCTAGTGTCCAAGATCTGTTGAAGAAATGCTGCCCCCCCCCCGAGCCCCGACTGCCGTTAGTTCGCCGCCGCGTATGTTGTTTCAAGTTCCCCCCTTGAAAACATTACACCGAGACCGACCGATGCGAGTGAGATTTACATATGTTGTACTTTTACGACCACCCTTCGGGTGATGAGGAGGTTGTGGGGGGGGAGAGAGAGGGGGGAACCAACATCTGATTCAATCAATCTCACTATCGATCTCACTCAACGGGACACCACGGTACACCGCGGGACCCTTGTCGATCTCACTCAACGGGACACCACGGGACACCGCGGGAGACCTCTCGATCTCATTATCGATCTCACTATCGATCTCACTATCGATCTCACTCAGCGGGACACCATAGGACACCACGGGACACTTCGGGACACCACATCGATCTCACTATCAATCTCAGCATCGATCTCACTATCGATCTCACTCAGCGGGACCACGGGGCACCTCGGGGCACCACATCGATCTCAGTATCGATCTCACGATCGATCGCACACCACGGGACACCATGGGACACCGGCGGGACACCGCGGGCCAACGGTTGCCGGGCGGAGAAATTCTTCACGCTTCGCGTATCCCCACCAGCCCGTCCAGAAACGACGCCCAGGCGAGTAGAGGGTCGTCCTGAGGGGCTTTTCGGCGTCTTGGGTGCCTCGGGGGGGCCTCTTTGGGCCGTTTGGGATCCTCTTGGGGGCCTCCTGGGGGCCTCTTGGGGCCATCTTGGGGCCATCTTGGGGCCTCTTGGTGCCTCCTGGGCGCTTCTTGGGGCCATCTTGGAGGAAATCGATCAAAGAAGAGGGGAGCTTCAATTAGCGCTGGCCCCTCAGAAGGCCAAACTGGGGCCAAAACCTTAGTAAAATCAATGATTCTGGCTTCAAAGAAGAGGGGAGCTTTAATTAGCGCTGCCCCCTCAGAAGGCCAAAATGGGGCCAAAACCTTAGTAAAATCAATGATTGTCGCTTCAAAGAAGAGGCGAGCACTTTTCTCCCTCCCCCCGTCGGGGCCACGATCCTCGTGAGGGGTGTCGAATTTTAGCCCTCCCAGGAGTCGAAAAAGACCCCTCCGACCACCCGCGGAAGGACCTCTCCAGGCCCAGGGGGAGGGGGTAGGGGGAGGGGTAAACCCCTCCCCGAAGGGGAAGAAGGGGGTTGAGAACAGAGCGGGCTCTCTAAACCACTCACGCCCAAAGGGCTGGTGGGATTTTTGGTCCGGCCGCGGCCCAGCCACGACGGGACAAGGGCGGGACACCAGAGGGACACCAGCGGGACACCAGCGGGACACCGGCGGGACACCGCGGGCCACCGGTTGCCGGGCGGAGAACCTTTTGGTCCAGCCGCGGCCCAGCCACAGGAGAATTCTTTCTCCCCCGGTCACGCAGCTTCGCCTCGCCCGCACGCACGGCACGAACACGAAACCGAAATCGATTCCCCGGTAGGGGGGCTCTCCGTTCCACTTCAATCCCACCCCCCAACCTCCGATACACACGCACGCACGCGCACGCATTGGTAAAAGCGTTTGCAGTGTATGCGTGCAGATGTCTTGGGGGCGTCTTGGAGGCGTCCTGGGAGTCTCTTGAGGCCTCTTGGGCGCCTCTTTGGGCCATCTTTGGGCCGTCAGGATGCCTTCTTGGAGCATTCGAGGCCTTCTTGGGACCATCTTGAGGATATCGGTCAAAGAGGGGGGGAATCCTTAAGTAGGGCCGCCCCTCCTGAGACCCCAAAGTCGCCTCTTGGGGCCCTCTTGTCCCTCTTGGGGCGTTTTTGGAGCGCTCGTGGGCGCACTTGGGGCCGTCCTGTGACCATTTTGGGCATCTCGTGGGGCCCTCTTGGTCCATCCTGAGGCCTCGGGAACCCATCGGAAGCGAGAAAGCCAAAATCATTGATTTCATTTAGGTTATAGTAAGATTATGGCTTCTTGGGGGCCTCCTTGGGAGTCTCCGCGGCCACTTGGACCCGTATTGGGCGTTCAGCGCCGGCTTCAGTTGCGGCTGGAGGAGCTTGAGCCGTCCTGCTGCGGTCGTGGTTGTCGTGGTGGCCGTTGCGGCGTCTTGAGTGCCATTGTCGTGCTTGTGGTGGTTGTGGTGGTAGTCGTTGTGGTGTGCGTGCTCGTGAGAGTCGCTGTCGTGGCAGTCGTGGTGGCCGCTGTCGTGGTTGTTGTGGCTGTCGTGGTAATCGTCGTTGTGTGCGTGCTCGTGAGGGGCGCTGTCGCAGCTGTCGTGGTGGCCGCCGTGGTGTGCTTGCTTGTCGTGCATGCCCGGTGACTGTCGTGGCCGTCGTAGTGGCCGTCGTGGTGCGCTTGCAGGCTGCAGTCGCTGTCGTCGGTGTCGTGGCTGTCGGTGGCCGTCGTGGTGTGCGTGCTCGTGAGAGTCGCTGTTGTGGCTGTCGTGGTGGCCGTATTGGTTATTGGCACTCGTGGCTGTCGTGGTGGCCGCCGTAGTGTGCTTGCTTGTCGCGGATGCCCCGGTGGCTGTAATGGCTGTCGTAATGACCGTCGTTGTCCGCTTGCTCGTGGGAGTTGCTGTCGTGGTTGACGTGGTAGTTTTGGTGTTCGTCGTAGAGTGCTTGCTCGTGAGAGTCGCTGTCGTGGCTACTGCGGTGGCTGTCGTGGTGTGCGTGCTCGTGAGAGTCGCTGTCAGTTGTCGTACTGTGCCAGCGTGTGGGGGTCGATGCATTAGTTGTCGTGGTTGCCGCGGTGGTTGCCGCAGCGTGCTTGCTTGTTGTGGATGCCGCGGTGGCGGTCGTAGCTGACGTGGTGGCGCTCTTGCTCTTGAGTGCCTCTGCCGTGCCCGTGGTGGCTGATGTGGTAGTCGTCGTCGTCGTGGTGTATTTGCTCGTGAGAGTCATTGTCGTGGCCGTCGTGGTAGCTGTCGTGGCGTGCGTGCGTTCTTGCACTTGAGTGCCACTGTCGTGCTTGTGGTGGCCGTCGTTGTCGTCGTGGTGTGCGTGCTCGTGAGAGTCGCTGGCGTGGCTGTCGTGGCTGTCGTGGTGGCCGTCGTGGCGTGCTCGCTGGTGCGAGTCTCTGTCGTGGCTATCGTGGTGGCCGTGGTGGTGTGCGTGCTCGTGAGGATCGTTGTTGTGGCTGTCGCGGCGGCCGCCGTGGTGTGTTTGCTTGACGTGGATGCCGCTATAGTTGTCGTGGTTGTCGTGGTTGTCGCACTGGTGCGCTTGCTCGCAAGAGCCGCTGTAGTGGCTCTCGTGGCTGGCGCGGTGTTTGACATGGTGTGGGTTATTGTGGAAGTAGTTGTGGGAGACGTGCCTGTTGTGAGGGCTATCGTGGTACAATTGCTTGTCTTGGTGGCCGCTGAGGTGTGCTTGCTCGTGGGAGTCGCTGTAGTCGCTGCCGTGGTGGTCGTGGCTGTCGTGTTGTCGTCTCTGGTGGAGCTTCTCGTGTAGATGCTCTAGTAAAGCGGATTGTTCGTTAAAGAGTTGTCGGAGACGGTCGTAGTGTTCGTTGTAGAGTTGTTGCAGTCGGTCGTTGTGCTCGCTGTGTAGCTGTTGTGGCGTTGGTCGCGGTAGGTGTGTTGGTGGTGGTTGCTCGCTTCTGTCGTGTTGTTGACAGTTATTGATGCTCGGCGCGTGTGCTGGTGGAGGTGGCGGCTGCCAGAGGCTGGGTAGCGAGAGCGGCTTGGAAGTACGTAAGTTTTGTGCACGTGGTTTTCGTTGTACTGCACGTGCGGCTGCAGACCAGTCTTGAGTTGAGTAGTAGTATTTGTTTGGTAGCCAAGTGCGCACGTACTACATGTGTACGGCGGTCGCGTTATCTCCTTTGAGCCGAGCTGCTCTGAGCCTGAGCGTGGAGCTGCTCGAGTCGCACGCCGTGCTCACTATGGTGGTGCTGGGGTTGCTCGTCGTGCTGGCCGTCATACTGCTGACTTCGATGTTGGCGGTGCGGGAAGAGCTGGTATTAGTAGTCATGTTCGTCGTAGTGTTGAGGTCGAGTTTGAGATCGGTGTTGGACATTGTAGTACTGAACGTCATGGTACTGGCCATAGCTCTGCTGAGGTTGGCGCTGGACGGTATAGTGCGGGTGATACTGGCGATACCGGTGGTGCTGGTCGTCGTGCTGTTGATGTCGAGGTTGGTAGTCTTTCTGTTGAAGTCGATGCGGGCCGTCGTACTGCTGGTAGTGATGGTAGTGTTGGTTCTGGTAGTGCTGGAAGCGCTGGTGATGCTGGTTGTGCTGGTCTGGCTGGCTGTTGGTGCTGCTCGTGCCATCCGTGGCAATGGTCGTACCCTCCATGATTGCTGAAATCATCATTATGTGCACCATAATGCTCATACGGGTCATGAGTGTACTCTCCATGCTGATAGAAATACCTGTCGCACTGTCCATGCCATCTGTGTTGATCGATGTAGCTGTCGTCGCAAAGTCGCCGATGACGGCGTCTCATGGTCAATCAGCGGCAATTCTGACGTCACGATTGGGATACGGAGGGAGATGTAAGATGTGAGAGGGCAGTATGCGCGTAGGAATATGAGAAAAGGTATGCAGGAGAGAACAGTACTGTCGCGGCTGACCCCCTGCGGGCGGGGCGGGCGCTGCCACGGCCTTCGACGCGCCGTGGCTCCCTCCTCCTCATCCTTCTCTTCCTCCTCCTCGCCATCTTACCTCCTGCTATTGATCCTGCCTCTGCTGCTCGTCGTTTTCGTCCATCCCTCTCTTCTCGTCCCTCCTTCCCTCTCTCCGTTCCATCTCCCTCCTCATGCGAGGAAGAAGAGAAAGTTCTACAGGGTCGGCTGCCTCCTCCTTCTCCATATTTCCTCGGCTTCCCCTCTTCTTCCGTCGGCTGCCCCTCTGCCGCCCGCGTGCGCGGCCTCTGGCTCCCTCGAGCGCGCGCCGCCGGTGCGTGCCCCGGCTCGAGGGGGTGGGTGGAGGAGGAGGAAGAGGACGAGGACGACGACGGCGAAGACGAGAGGAGGAGAGGAGGAGGAGGCAGAGGAAGCAGAGGAGGAGGAGGAGAATGAGGAGGAGGAAGAGTTAGATAGTAGATCATGGGAGTTCCCGCTTGTCTCGAATTGAATGCGTTTCGGCGAAGAGCGCCCAATAGGGCCGAATTCCGCTCAGTAGCGCCCAAATAGCGCCGAATCCGAATAGCACCCAATGGCGCCATGTGGGGTAAATTCATTACGTGCGCTGTGCGCGCTTTTGAACGCGCTATTGGGCGCCATGGGGACGACCAAAAGCTTCCGTGAGTTGCCTTCTAAGGAGGTCAGAGGATCTAGAACTCCCAGATAGGGTCAGAGTGGATGGAGGATCGCGCCGCATCGGCGATGTGGAGCTCGATGTTCTCCACGCCGACGGCCGATGCATCGGCGATGCATCGCCAACAGGAGGAGGACGACGAGAGGAAGAGACGAGGAGGTTCAGGTAACAAAAAATAACGTAAGCATAAACTGTTGGAGGTCTGCGCAGATTTCTCAGACGGGCACTGGAGCCCCCATGGCGGCGCCTCCGACTCCACACCTGGCTCACTCCGCGCGCCAGGGAGGGGGGTCCAGCACCGAGCCAAGAAATCCGCCCAGACCTCCAAAAATGCATGTGTATGTAATGTATTGTTCCTATGGAGGTGGAGGTAGTAGAGGAGGAGGAGGAGGAGGAGGAGGAGGAGGAAGCGGAGGAAGCGGAGGAAGCGGAGGAGGAGGAGGAGGAGGAGGAGATTATATCGTCTTGCCTGCATTCAGCCTGCAGCGGCACTCGAATGATCAATTATCCTGGCGAAGCGCCCGACCATATGCAGGCAATTGTGAGGCAATCTTAAATATATGTTTGGTGGCGCTCCCTATGGGGCCACGAATCCACGAACCGTATGATGGGTGTGCCGGACCGTGTGGCGGGGCACACAACACGAACGATGATGATAGGTCGAATTGCGAGAGAATGAGCGCGAGTGAGTCTGAGTGTGAATGAGTCTGCGCGCGAGTGAGTATATTTGCGTGAGTGCGAGCATGGATACGCCGAGTGTAAGCGCATATGAATGTGAATGGTTCGAGTATGCCTGATTCTGAGTACTCGTGACACTGAGCGTGGCCGCCGCAGGGAGCTTCCCCGGGAACCCCGACGGTAGCGCCCGCACGCCGCGACGCCCATGTCGGCACGCCCTTCACGAGGATCGCACCCGTTTCCTTCCCTTTGTTTCTTCCCTCTTTGCCCGCGCGCTCCAAACTCCAAGGCTGCGAGCGCAGCGCAACGCGGAATCCCCACGACGCGCGCAGGTCGCCACAGAGGGGTCCCAGCGACGCGCGCGGGTCGCCCGCTGCGCGGAGCAAAGAGAGTTACTAGCTGGCTGGTTGATAGCGGGCACGGCTGGAGGCTGTCGTCGTGGCGCTTCAGATCGTCCACGACGGGCGCGCTCGCGCACTTCTCCATGCGCACCCAGAACCCCAGCGGCAAGCGCTTCAGATAGATCCTGTTTTCCCCGTCTTTCTCTCTCTCTCTCTCTCTCTCTCTCTCTCTCTCTCTCTCTTTCTCTCGGCGTTTTCGACGCCGTCCCGATCCCGAGGGTCCACGACGATGTGCGCGATCTGCTCCTCGGCATCCTTGACGAGGCCGTTCCTCAGGTCGAGCGCCTCCAGGAGCCGGATCCGCATGCCCACGTGCACCGGGAGGAGTCCGCGCATGCCACTGGGGTTCTTCGGGTTGGCACAGTTCATCATCTTGGCGGCGCCATTGACATTCATCGTCGGGGCAGACCTGTCGGCTGCTTGCGTGAGGAAGAGCGGCTTTTGCAGGACGTCCGCGCCCCGCTGGGCACGCACATTCATCCACCGCGCCACGGTGTCCCATTAGGACCCGATCATGTGGCCGTTCTGGAATTTTTCCTCCGGAGCCGACGATCATCGAGTTTCAGTTGCATGGCGTTCCACGCGGCCCAGATGGCCGGAGGGACCTGTTTTCCCGGTTCGCGCAGGAACGCCATGAGATCTTTGAGTTCCGTGCCCTTGAAGCGACTGGACGCCTGGAGCTCGAAGAACAGCGGCGTGTTGCAGAAGAGCTTCACCACGGCCTGGCACTTTGGAGCGAGGTTGATGCCCGCCGCCGCCAGTTCCTCGAAGCTGGAGATGAGGGACACTTTGCCTCCCGTCGGCTTCCGCTACAGGAAGTCTCCCAGGTGGATCACGATGTACTGGGTGTGGAAGACGCATGCGGGCTGCGCCACTGGGGCCTTCGGTGGAGCCCCCCATGGGGGCACGTAGTGCTTCACTGCGCGGGGGAGACGCATGCGAACTGCGCCACTGGGACCTTCGGCGGAGCTCCCTACGGGGCCACGAAGCGCTGTATTGGGCGGGGGATACGCATGGGAACTGCGCCACTGGGACCTTCGGTGGGGCTCCCTATGGGGCCACGAAGCGCTGTACTGGGCGGGGGAGACGCATGCGAACTGCGCCACTGGGACCTTCGGTGAAACTCCCTGTTGGACAACGAAATGCTGTACTGAATGGGGGAGACGCATGCGGGTTGCGCCACTGGGACCTTCGGTGGAGTTCCCTGTGGGGCCACGAAACGCTGCATTAGGTCGGGGAGACGCATGCGGGCTGCGCCATTTAGACCTTCGGTCGAGTTCCCTCTGGGGCCACGAAGCGCTGTACTGCGTTGAGGAAACGCATGAGAACTGCGCCAATGAGACCTTCGGTGGAGCTCCCTGTGGGGCCACGAAACGTTGCATTAGGTCGGGGAGACGCATGTGGGCTGCGCCATTTAGACCTTCGGTCGAGTTCCCTCTGGGGCCACGAAACGCTGTACTGCGTTGAGGAAACGCATGAGAACTGCGCCAATGAGACCTTCGGTGGAGTTCCTTGACGCATGCGAACTGCACCGCTGGGACCTTCGGTGGAGCTCCCTACGGGGCCACGAAACGTTGTACTTGGTGGGGGGACGCATGCGAATTGCGCCACTGGGACATTCGGTGGACTTCCCTATGGGGCCACGAAACGCTGTACTGGGTGGGGGAGACGCGTGCGGGCTGCGCCACCTGGGACCTTCGGTGGAACTCCCTGCTGGACAACGAAACGCTGCACGGGAGACGCATGCGAACTGCGCCTTTGGGACCTTCGGTGGAGTTCCCTATGGGGCCGCGACGCGTTGTACTGAGTCTGGCGATGATAGTGATGATGACGGCGATGGCGATGATGATGATATTGATGATGATGTTGATGATGATGGTGACGATCATGAGGACATGCGGAGGCAGAGGCAAAGGATGGGATGAGGAAGAGGGCAAAGGAGGGAGAGGAGGAAGGAGGAGACGCGGGGCGTTTTTTTTTTTTCACGAGGACCCAACACCACGGGATGTTTGGGAACACTTGCATACATGTAAACGTTCCGAGGTCCGCGAGGAGTTTTTGGCCCGGCGCTGGAGCCCCTCCCTGGCGCACGGAGCGTGGCAGGGGCGGCGCGAGAGGCGCCGCCAGGGGTGCCCAGCGTTCACACAAGAAATCCGCGCGGGCTTCCGAAATTCGGCACGGGGTGAAGTGGAAACCCATGCCAAGAAACACCCTGTTTGCCTCCAGGGTGTCGTGGGTTTCGATGGTTTTGCTGTGGAGAGCGTGACGTTCCCACACCAGAAAAACAATGGACGCCCTTGGGTCTCAGGGTTGGATTTCTTGTGGAAGGTTTCTCGTAGTCGAGCTCCTGCTGCATTCGGGGGCCAGGGCGCACCGACTGACAGCAGTCAGGCGCTTCACAGCGTATGGGCAGAGACATGTGGCACAAAGCAAGATACAAAACGCATTGGCATGCGCCACACCACTGTGAAACATGGCTGAGCACACTAGGGGGAGGGAGGGGGAGGAGGACGAGGAAGGGGAGGGAACTCCCCACAAGCTGCGCTACGACAAACGTTCATGATAAGCACACGAGGATTTCTTGTTGTTTCAGCCTGCCTCTCTTCCAGCACTGGTCCCAGATCTGGCAGATGCATAGCCCACTTCCAACGACAAATCGGGACATGTCGAGCGGGCCACGGACCAGGATAAATCATTCTAGAGCGCGTTCCAGAATGTTCTCAGAGCCTTTAAGAGCGCTCTAGAAGGGCCGCGGCGCAGGTTGTGAGGAGATCCGAACTCCTTGATTTGTCCCAGTGCGATACTGTCCTTGTCCTGGCCTCGTCTTAGAATGAGGTGGCGCGGGGCTCGGGTTTTGTGTTCTGAGCACAAGCGCGCTCACCAGACGGGGAGTTCTCGAGATTCGCACATGCGCAGGAGGATCGAAGAAGGACAACTGCAAAAGCACGTTCTCTGAGTTCCGCGCAGATTTCTTGGATCTGCGCTGGGGAACCCCTGGCGGCGCCTTCAGCGCCGCCCCTGGCGTGCTGCGCGCGCCAGGGAGGGAAGTCCAGCGCGGGTCCAAGAAATCCGCACGGACCTCCGAGCGTTAATGTGAAGGCAGATGTTCTTGTTCGAGAGGCGCCGCAGGCAGACTGCAGGCAGGACAGCACAATGCACTCCTGGGGGGGGGGGGGGGGGGGGAGACTCTGTCCGACAGAGAGACCGATGCTGCGAATTGAGCTCTACGGACCTCGCACAGGGTCACAGGGTGCGCTCTGACCAGGATTGCTGAGCGAAAGTTCAAATGTATGCCGTGCTTTTCCTTTCCCTAGAAGACCTGGCATCGCTCGGACGTGTGCATCTTTCCTCGGCGAGGAACATCGAGGAGCATCCTAGATCATTATGCCGAAAAGGCACAGAACTGAAAAACGCACGGGGATAGACGTTCGAGCGATCGCAAGAAGAGGGGAAGAGGACGGGAAGGGGCGGGACGAGTGAGCGCACCATCAGCAGGAAGAGGAGGAGGAGGAGGAGGAGGAGCGGCTGGACAAGGAGGGGAGGCCGACGGTTGGGCGCTGCGCAGTGATAAGCCACGCCCAAGACGCCTGGCCTCGCCCGGACGTGTGCATGTTTTCTCGCGGGGGCCATCGAGGGGCATCCTAGATCATTGAACTGGAAAAACACGCACGATGCCGGAAAACATGCACGCGGACTGGACGTCTGAGCGACGGCAGGGACGGTGGAGGCGCCCTGGGCGAGGAAACGTGCACCGTTGGGGTCCGAAAAGGGGCCCCCTGGAGCCCACAAAGGCCACGAAGAGTTCACGTTTCTTCGCCCCTCCGTGTATTGCCCCCCCACGGCGATATGGTTTTCGTCAGGGTATCTTGGGTTTCTTCGCTCCGCGCGCTGCGCAGTGACTTCCCGCAGCCGGTGAAGAAGCTGCTGCGTTCAGGGTGCTCCTGGTTTCCCCTGAGGTGCACCTCGCGCGCGGGTTTTCAGGGTTGGGTTTCTTGCGAGGGCTTCCTTGCGGCCGCGCCCGCACTGTATCGTTGAACGGTCCGGCGTTTCTTAAACGGCCGATCGTTGAAGGTGAAGCAATCCTCTGTGGTGTCTGGAACCAGGGGCAGGGTCGACTCGACGCGAACCTGCCGTAAGCAACGACGGAGGCGGTGGATGCGCCCTGTGAGGAGAGGGCCGGCGGGGCGCCGCGCCGGCTTGGCAGCGCTGCTATAATATGTTCCTGACGCGCTCCGAAATGTGCGGGGGCGCGGCTCGGCCTTGCCTCCTCTTCCGGGGCCACGTCATGGGGGGATGGGCTCAGGGGGGAACCCAGAGATCCGACGCATCAAACAAGAATTGGCGCGGGCTGTTTCTGGCCGTTTTCGGCCTCTGGGGGCCCTCGCCGGGCCTCGGGAGCGACAGAAACCGACTCAGGACGAAACACTGGCCCAACTGGCCCTAGGGAAGTGGTCCAGGCCTCCGGAGCCCACGCATCGAAAAAATCGGAGCAGCCAGATGTTTGGGGACACCGACCCCCAATCGCCCACTCATCGCTGATAGGGGCCCGACAGCCCGCCCCGCCCTGGGCCGTGCGGGTTCGCTACCAGCACAGCTGCCAGCACAGGCTCTCGAGAGCTGCCACTGCTTGGTTCTGGGCTGCTGTGGCCCAAGACGGGCCGCTTCCCCAATCCGCTTGCCAGCATGCGGGGACAATATGTAAGCACATACGTTGTATGTAAATCCATGTTAGAGGATACACCACATGTGATGTGACCACCGTATTGCGTCGTATGACGCGTAATCCACACATGGTACACCGTTGGAAACATAGTATTCTAGACGCTTCGCATAACCCCAGCAGCCCATCCAGAAACGATGCCCAGACGAGTTGCCCTGATCAGAGATGCGGAGGAGCATGCAGAGAACTCAAAGGCTAGGTCAGAAGTCATACCGGGTAGGATGGAGGAGGAATTGGAGGAGGAGCAGGAGTAAGGGGAGGAGGAAGGAGGAGGAATAGGCGGATGAGGAAGAGGAGGAAGAGGAGGGCGAGCAGAAAGGCCACAGGCATTTTGGATACCTCTATGAGTCTCGTCGGATGTATTTCGAACGTTTCTGGGAGGCTTCTTGGGGCCTCTTGGGGGTCCCCTGGGAGCCTTTGGAGTGCATGTTGGGCGCCTCCTCAGGGCCTCTTGAGGCCTCCTGGGCACATCTTGGGGCCGTCTTGGGGCGCAGATCGATCAAAGAATGGAATCAATACTTTGCGCTTCCTCGCCGAGACCATTTTGGATGCCTTACGTAAATGTTCGCGAAATCTTTCCTGCAGACCCAGGTGTAGGGGGGATAGGGAGAGGGGCAAACCCTCTCCCGATGGGGAAGAGGAGGGGGCAGATGAAATGGAAACGCTCGAAACCACTCATGCCCTAAGCGTCCAAGCTCCACGAGATAACACAACGTCCTTGCGCGCAGATCTACAAACCAGTGCCATAGATCGGAAGATACCGACGACTTATTATTTGCTCCGTGTTATCATAGAATCGGAAGATGCCGAAGTCGGATGGCGGTAGAATCAGAAGATGCCGAAAGCGGATGGCCGACGAAGTCAGAATTTGGAGTCGGAGAACGACGGGCGAAAAAGTTGAATGCCATCGTTCGATGTGGTATCAGTGGACGACGCGGAGCCCGAGCAGGAACGAAAACATGTATGGTTTGGGGGCTCGAGTCCGAAACACGTACCATACGCCATACCACATGTAACGAATGTGATGTGTGTCGGATGTTGGGGTCAGATTTGGAAGATATAGGAAGGCGGAAAGAGCAGCGACGCTTTGTCTGTGTTGGATCGTCACAGGGCCGATGTAGCAACAACACGTGTTATGGGTAAGCAATTTTCACGTATTCCTAACCCTTTTGTGTTTCGTTTTTGTTTTGAATAGAGTATTGTGGTCTCCTTTTTTCCTCCCCCTCCTGCCTCCTACTTCCTGGCTCGTGTCTCATCCCCGTTCTCTTCTTCCTCCTTTCTCTCCTGGGTCCTGCTTGCGCCGCCTGGCCACGTTCGTGCGGGGCTCTCCTTGTCGCCACGTTCGTGCGTTTTTGGGAGGTCCAACGCAGTCAGTAGCCACGCACACCATGTCGAGACCTCGCGGCTCCCTGCGTGGCTGCGAATTGCACAATTGTCACCACAATCGTGGGGTCTTGCGAGGTTCAGCGAAATTTGGCGGCGCCCTGCGTGGCTGCGAATTGCGCAATTGACGTCATTTTCATGGACTCCCGGGCGGAGGTCCATCGCAGTCGGTAATCACGCACGCCACGTCGAGATTTCGCGGTTTCCTGCGTGGTTGCGAATTGCACAACTGTTGTCATGTTTGTTGGTTCCTACGAGAAGGGAGGTCCAGTGGAGTAAAGTGGTACGCAGATCCAGTTGGGACTTCGCGGTTCCTTGCGTGATTGCGAATTGCGCAATCCATTTGCGTAGATGATTGCGAGGTTCAGCGGGGTGGAATGGTATGCGGACCGAGTTGGGAATTCGCAATGTTTTGCGTGTTTGCGCATTGCGCAATTTTCGCTGTTGTCCCAAATTTCCCGCTTCCCTCTTCCTGCCTCCTCCTGCCTTTTTCTGTTTTTTTTTTTGTGTTATTAGTGTTGTTGAGGGGCGGGGGGCGGCAGAGTGACGTCCTATCCATAGTTAGTTTAGGCCTAGCCATCCGTGGGGGGGCTGCGATAGGTGCACTGCGGGAGGGCCGGGAAACAGCATAGCGACGTGTTGCCGAGATTCAAGTTAGAGTTCGCCACCTCTGGGAGGCAATAAACTGAATGGTCGCCAATTTTACAGATTGTTGGAAGAGGGGGCAGCATCGTTACGTTCTCGACCTCGCCATCCTCGGGGGGCTGCGATTTGCAAAACAATCGCCACGTTCGAGGGCTGGTGGGGTGGGTGGCAGCATAGCTACGTCTTACCCGGATTCAGACTGGATGCGACCCTTTTCGTGAGTACTGAGATTTGCGTCATTATCGCTACTTTTGAGAGTTGGTTGAAAGGGATGGACGGGAGAGAGGGGGCAGCATAACAATGTTTTACCTAGATCCACGGTGGACCTCACCATCCTTGGGGCTGTGCGATTCGGGAACTTCTTGCGATTGTCGAAGGCTGCAAATGGAGCAGTATGGCAACGTCGCATTTAAATTCGAACTAAACTTCGCCATTCTTGGAGGGCTGCAGTCCCACCAGCCCTTTAGGGCGTAGGTGGTCTAGAGAGTTTCCTCTGCCAACCCCCTTCTTCCCCTTCGGGGAGGGGTTTACCCCTCCCCTTACCCCTCCCCACTGACCTGGACGGGGCGTTCCGCGACGCGTTGGGACGTCCAAGATGGCCCAAGACAGCTCCAATAGCGAAAAGGCGAGAAAACACAAAACATTGATTTTACCTAGGTTTTGGAAGGATTTTGGCCTCTTGGGGGGGCCCAAGAGGCGGCTCGAGGCACTCTGGAAGGGCGAGAGTAATTGAGGCTACCCCCTTCTTTGATAGATCTCATCCAACATAGCCTAAAGAGCGCCCCGAAGGCTCCCAAGAGCGCCCCAAGAGCGCCCCAAGAGGGCCCCAAGAGACCCCAAGAGGCCCCCAAGAAGCCTCCAAGAGGCTGCCAAGAGACCCCCAAGAGGCTCCAAGAGAGTGCAAGATGGCCCAAGACGGCTCCAAGAGCGAAAAGGCGAGAAATCAACAAACATTGATTTTACCTAGGTTTTGGAAGGATTTTGGCCTCTTGGGGGGCCCAAGAGGCGACTCGAGGCACTCTAGAGGGGCAACGCTAATTGGGGACCCCCTCTTCTTTGATCGATCTCCTCCAAGATGGCCCCAAGAACGCCCCGAAGGCTCCCAAGAGCGCCCCAAGAGCGCACCAAGAGGCCCCAAGAGGCGCCCAAGAGGCCTCCAAAAGGCCTCCAAGAGACCCCCAAGAGGCCCAAGAGGCTCCCAAGACGGCCCAAGACGGCTCCAAGAGCGAAAAGGCGAGAAAGCAAAAAACATTGATGTTACTTAGGTTTTGGAAGGATTTTGGCCTCAAGAAGGGCCCAAGAAGCGATTCGAGGCACTCTAGAGGGGCAGCGCTAAGTGGGGACCCCCCTTTCTTTGATAGATCTCCTCCAAGATGGCCCCAAGAGCGCCTCGAAGGCTCCCAAGAGCGCCCCAAGAAAGCCCCAAGAGGCCCCAAGAAGCGCCCAAGAGGCCCCCAAGAGACCCCCAAGAGACCCCCAAGAGGCCACAAGAGGTTCCCCGAGATACGCAAGAGGCCCCCGGGACCGCCAAGAGGCCCCAAAGACGGCCCAAGAGGCCCCCAAGCTCGCCATTGTCCTCCTCCTCCTCTTTTTCTTCCTCCTCCTTCCTCCCCCTCCCCCTCCTCCTCCTCCTCCTCCTCCTCCTTCTCCTTTTCCTCCTTCTCCTTTTCCTCCTTCTCGTCCTCCTCGTCCTCGCAGTCCTCCATCTCCTCCTCCTTATCTTCCTCCTCCTCCTCCTCCCCCTCCTCCTCCTGCTCCTCCTCCTGCTCCTCATCTTCCTTCTCCTACTCCGACGACGACGGCTCCTCCTACATCCTCCCCCTCTTGAGGTATATGGCGGCTCACCCCGCCCTTTGTTCTTCTGCATGCTCCCCCGCTTCCCTCATAACCTCCACTCCCCTGGGACTCATTTCTGGACGGGCTGGTGGGGATACGCGAAGCGTCTAGAATTTGCGAAACTGCGGCCGCATTCGAATTTTCAAGGGTTACGGGAGGGAGAAAGACCGGCACCAACGGGACTCGCAACTGAACAACGGGACTCGCAATTGGAACAACGAGACTCGCAACTCAACAACGGGACCCGCAACTGGCAACAACGGGACTCGCAACTGGCAACAACGGGACTCGCAACTGGCAACAACGGGGCTCGCAACTGGCAACAACGGGACTCGCAACTGGCAACAACGGGACTCGCAACTGGCACGGGAGTCGTAACTGGCAGCAGCGGGATTCGCAATTGGCAGCAGGGAGACCTGCAATTGGCAGCAACGGGGCGCGCAAACGAAGGAATTGTAGAGACGTGCGGCTTCTGCAGGAGACCTCGTTTAAGCGGGAAAGTCGGTAAAAGAAAGAGAGTTTGGGTTAGGCGGGAGAACCGGCCTACCGATTCAGCGGGAGATCCGGCTTATGCGGGGGAACCGGTTTAAGCGGGATAGCCGGCTTAAGCAGGAGAGCCGGGAGAGCTGGCTTCAAAAAGAAAACTAAGTT